CTGATGTTTCGCGCTTAGACCCTTCTTCAGAAAATTTTTCTGAAGGGTCTAGGCCCGAAACGTCAGCCTTCCTGCTCCTCTGCTGCTTGGCCTGCTGTGTTCATCCAGCTCTACACCTTGTTATCTCAGATTCTCCAGCATCTGCAGTTCCTACTCTCTGACTACTTTAACCGTTTGTGTTTTTTTTTTAATTTGAAGAGTTGGTTAAATAGATTGAAGATGTTGCATTTGATATGGTTTACTGGACTTCGGTAAAGCCTTTGACGAGGCTTCCCACATGGAAGAGCCCATGTGATCCAAGGCAAGTTGGCAAACTGAATCCAAAACTGGCTTACAAATATGAGGTTAAGAATGATGTTGGAGGGTTGTTTTGTAATTGGAAGCCTGTGACCAGCAGTGTACCACAGGGGTCAGTGATGGGGCCTTGTTGTTTGATATATACATTAATGACTAGGATGTGAATGTAAAATATATAATTAAGTTTGTAGAAGATGTGAAGATGATGGTCTCAGGCTATGGTCTGACGTTAATCTGTTGGTAAATTGGACAGAACAACGTCTGATGTAAGTTAATCCTGATGAGTGCAAGGCAATGCATTTTGGGAGGCCTAATAGGGGAAGGATATCCACAATGAATGGTAGGTCCCTAAGGAGTACTGAGGAACAGGAACCTTGGTGTTGAAGTCTACAGATCCTTGAAGGTGTGAGCACAGGTAAGACAGGGTGGTGAAGGAGGCATACAGGATGCTTGCCTTCATTAACCAAGATGTAGAAATTAGGAGTGAGGAAGTCTTGTTACAACTTTATACAACATGGTCAGGCCACAGGTGGAATATTGTGTGCAGCTCTGGTCACCACACTAGCGGAGAGGGTGCACAGGAGATTTACTAGGATGTTGTCTTGTGTCAAGAACCTGGATAGGCCAGCCCAACTCGTCCCCGCCTCCCTAACCTGTCCTTCCTCCCACCTATCCCCTCCTCCCACCTCAAGCTGCACCCCCATCTCCTACCTACTAACCTCATCCCGCCCCCTTGACCTGTCTGTCCTCCCTGGACTGACCTATCCCCTCCCTACCTCCCCACCTACACTCACCTTTACTGGCTCCATCCCCTCCTCTTTGACCTGTCTGTTTCCTCTCCACCTATCTTCTCCTCTATCCATCTTCTATCTGCCTCCCCCGCCCCTCCCTATTTATTTCAGAACCCCCTTCCCCTCCCCCATTTCTGATGAAGGGTCTAGGCCCGAAACGTCAGCCTTTCTGCTCCTATGATGCTGCTTGGTCTGCTGTGTTCATCCAGCTCTGCACCTTGTTGTCCTGGATAGGCTGGGTTTGATTTCCTTGGAGAAGAGGCTGATGAGGTATACAAAGTTATGAGAAGCATAGACAGAGTAGATTGGGACAATCTCTTTCCCATTGCAGACGGGTCTACGAGCAGAGGGCATAAGTTGAAGATGAGGAGTAAATGGGTTAGAGGGGTTCTGAGGATATTTTTTCACCCAAAGGGTGGTTGATTTCTGAAACGTTGCTGCCTGAGGGGGTGGTGGAGGCAAGTCCTCTGCAACATTTAAGCAGAATCTGGATGAGGACTTAAAATGCCAGGGTAAGGAAGCTATGGAGAAGTGCAGGCAAATAGGATTAGAGTAGTTTTGTTTGTTGGTTGGCTGGCATAGACATGGTGGGCTCGAGCTATTTCTACGCCACGTGACACTCTGACATCTTGACGCCAAATTAACCCGGAGACCTTGCTTCTCTAGCTGCCATCAGGATAGTAACTTGTTGATTTAAGAGCAGCCATTTGAATGTGACGTTAGAAAGTTGCTGACTATAATTAATTGGTTGTAAAATGCTTGGGACCACGAAAGGGTCATGGACGGCGTTATATCAATTCTATTCAAAAATATGTAATCTGTGACTTTAAAGGTTTCCTTGAATGCTGGTAGGCTTGGTAAAGATGAAGGAAGCTCTGACAGTTTGTGTACATGATGATGTTGGGCGCAGGAATCCCGATGCACACCTGGGTATCAGGTGACGTCACGAGAAGTGGAGGATTCCCTACAGCCGGAGCGCGGCCGCGTTTGGCTAGCAAGCGCCAGACTCCCCTTTTGCTTTTGTTGAGGGGAGGAGGAAATGGAGAGGTGTTGAACAGTGCGCCTGCGCGTTAATTGGTGGGCGAGCAGGGTACGTGCTGGCGAGTGCGCATGCGCCTTACGTTTTTCCCTTCGTCGGGGTGGGTGGGAGGGAGGGAAGGTGAATCAAGGGGAGAGGCACTGAGTGCGCTTGCGTTGCATGCTCGCGGCGGGGAGAGCGGACGGGTTCGGCTCCTTTGGTGAATCTGAGGCGACTTGGGAAAGGGAGGGTGGCTACTAGCAATGGGTAAGGAGCAGGAGCTGCTCGAAGCGGCGAGGACCGGCAATGTAGCCGTGGTGGAGAAGCTGCTAAGCGGTAGGCATCGGCTGTCGGCAGGCAGCGGTGGAACGGTATCCCTGCCTCAGCTTTCCAACCTTCTCAGGTGGGTCAGGCAACAACTTGGGAATCGAGTAAGGATGAAGAGGGGGTGGTTGGGCCCGGACTGGGATGAGGGGCGGGATATCTAGGACAGGACCGGCTGTGTTGGTTGTTCAGTTTCTCGAGTCACGTCCTGCGTGCACTGAATACGCGGCCAGTGTGGTTATTAGCACTTCACTTCTCACTGGACCCACCGGCAGAGGGAAAGGGTTTTCAGCTTACGTACTGAGCTGCTGTCGCAGAAGTGACTTATTTTTGAAGCGTTTGTGTGTTTGAGGTTGATTCCTTGCGTACTGAGTGTTGTGCAATATGCTGTGAGTAATAAATGTTGAAGTTCTTGTTAAGGGAGTGAGGAAATAGTTTAAATCATTGGGTTTTGGTTGAAGAGTTTAGTGTGTGTGTATATGTTATCGAAGTGGCCTAATAGGATGTTTACTTTAACAATCAAATTATTTCTTTAAAAAAACATTAACAAGAATCATTTTTAAATTATGTAGTTCCTGGCGTTTTTGATATAGTTTTTTGTTTATAAATGGTTAATTTTGTTTGTACAAACTTGGAATATGAAAAGTCGGAGGCCATAAAGCGCAAGAGTGAAAGTAGGCTATTAGGTCCATCGAGTCTGCTGTGCAATTCATGGCTGATTTTGATAATCCTCAACTATCCTTTCCTGATTTATAATTCATGAATCCCTACTGATGAAAAAAATTCTCTCAACCTTGAATATTCTTAATGGCCCGGACTTAATTGCCCTCAAGTAAAGGATTCTATCAATTCTCTACACTGAGAAGAAATAATTCCTTCACATCTGCTCTAACTAGTGACCCTCAACCTGCTAATGTGAGTCAGTTATTAATGTACAATTCTGCACATCTGTTGGGTGATTCCTCTGATTCACTTTATTGTGTCACCAGTACTTTTTGTTAAAACAGAGGATATTTAAATAAATGTGGTTATTTTTGTTTTTAACTTGATGCTAAGTAGTCGAGCAAACATTAATTGCTGGTGTCTTTCAGGCTGATCCTTAATTCAGAACTTCTGGAAAGAGCCCAGCTTGAAAGGCAACTTTTTCCATTTATGCTGAATGATCTATATTGCTCCCAATGATGTGGCTTCATTGTTAATGTATAGCACTTTATTTAACATAATTCATTATTTGCCAAAAGATTTCTCATTTGCCAGCATGTTCACTATTTCTATGTCCTTGTCATCTTTGATCCTAGTCATTGTCAATGCTGCTCACTTTTTTGCATTTTGTAATCTGCAATTTTAATCTGACTTACTTGAGCTCTCTTCAGTGAAGTGAAAGGACAACATTTTAATGCCTATTGTTCATTGGTATCATTCCTTTTTCCTGAGAAATAAGGCTGAATGGAGCCCAGGGCTTTGACAATGTGCCTGCTAGGTTAACATAATATTAAGTGGTTCATGGTAATTTGTTTGCTTAACAGTTTCCATTTGAGGCAATTTAGTGGAAAATACTTGTCAAGAGGTATTAAGTAGTTTTGCATGTCTCCTAAGGATACATCAGGTAAATCTTTTGAGTAGTGTTCTTTGTGTAGCCTGATACTATATTTGATTTGTCCAGATTAGCTTGTGGTAGTGATTATTAGTCTTTGTTTTTCATTTATGCAAAACTCTCTCAATTCAGGATAATGCTGGTACAATGCAAGGCTTACTTTGAAACTTTAGTTTTAACATTACAGAACTGATGTTTTCAATGCATTCTCCAATTACTGACACGCAACCATTTTCGGTTGCCAGGAAGTAGATCGTTGCGTTTTTACCTTGTGCAGCAAATGATACAGGATCCAATGAAGTAGGCTGGATCTTGTATACTTTTTTTGCTGGCATCTGTGCAATGGTGATTTCCTGAAGATATTCTGAGGCTGCTGAAAGTGTGGCCACTGATAGCATCCCTGATTAAAAGGTGATGCACTATAGCTTGGATATCTAGATGGGGTGTGAAGCTACAGAAGGATTTGAAAAGTTCAAAATCAGTGTTGCTTGATTCAGCAAGTATGGGGAGATGATGTGAGTGGGTTTTGCCAAAATAATGGCAGTACAGTTTTGGATGACCTCCATGTAGGAGTGGCAGAATGTGGTAGTCTAGCCAGAGATGTTTTCCAAAAGTTGAGATTAGGGTTAAGCAAGTCATGAATCTGAGCTGTGGTATCAGATGAATGAAGACAGGAAGTCAGGATGTTTAGAAGGTGGAAATAGGCATTTTTATTAATTCACAGGCTCAGTGCATTAAAAGTTAGGCCAGCATTAATTGCCCACACCTAGTTAGCTTTAGAAAGTTAGTGAACCTCTCGCTTTAATCAGTGTCATCCATGTGGTGTATGTACACTCTAATGCTATTACAAAAGAAATTGCAGGATTTTGACCCAAAAACAACGAACGAATAACAATGTAGCTGAAGACCCTGATGCTCATGTAGGAAACCTCGCAGTATGATGGTGCTGCCACTTATCTACTGCCATTGTGGTTCTACCTGATAGATATTGCAAGTTTGGAAGCTGTTGGAGCATTGGTGAGTTGTTGTGGTGCGCACTACCGCTGTCATGTTGGAGGGAGTGGATGTTGATGTTAGATGTGGTGCCAGTCAAGCAGGCTGTTTTGTCCTGGATGGTGTGCATGAAATGACAGATTATTGCCTATATATGACCTGATGCTGAGATTTTGTGGGCTCAAAAGTAAATGTTGAGGACTTGTAGGGCAGCCTTCTCCCCACTATTTCATTATGCTGCCTCCTCTGTTGGGTTTGTCATCCCAACATGATTGGAATAATCAGGGATGATGATGATGGTGCCTGGGATGTTGTAAAGTATAACTCCGAGAATGACTGTCTGTCTATATTAGACTGTGGATCTGAAGTTCTAAGGAAGGGCCACCAGACCCAAAACGTTAATTCTGATATTTTCCTTCACATACTGCCAGACCTGCTGAGTTTTTCCAGCAACTTCTGCTTTTGTTCCTGATTTACAGCATTCAGAGTTCTTTCAATTTTATATAGTAGACTGTTGTTTGACTAACTTGTGAGCAAGTCTATAGATCGATTAAGGACTTTGCAGGATCAACAGGGCTACGTATCTCTAATCATTTCTGATGCTTTGGTTGAATTCCTGTTCCTTTAATCAGACTTTGTGGTAATTAGCTAGAAGTGAACGGCTTGCAAGTGTATTTCAGCAGGCATTTGCAAGGTACCAATGTTGCTGTGAATCTGAAGTCATGTGTAAGCCAGATCTGTTGAGTGGTAGATTTTTCCTTCCCTGAAGAATGTTGTGAACCTGTTACAAGTGAGCGGAATAGTCAGTAGCTAGTGAATTGTTTACAGGTTCTGTTTAGTTTTCCTGACACGTAATTGGAGGAAATCTTGCTTATCTGGTACTAGATGTTGTACGAACAGTTGGACAATTTAAGAAGATTGAAGTTGCAAGGGAAAAGTGGTACTGAGGTAGACGTGGCTACCTTGTGCTATGCTTTTGGATACAAAATAAAAGGGAACCAGAGAAACAGAGGTAGTGGTTCATGAGTATAGGAGAAGCAATGTAACTGAGGCCTCAGTTACTAGATTCTGCAGATACTTGTGGAAGAGTCAGTCTCTTGTAAAAGTTAACGCTATGATTTCTTGCCTAAAACTTTGTTTTGCATCAAGTGAACTATTTTTTTGTGTTCAAAGCCCAACATTCAGAAATGAAGTATTATCTTGGAACTGTTCATAATTTGATTGCATTGTCAATGTAAAAAATGCACAGGAAAATTTGCACCAGTAAATACTTAATGTGCTTAAATTTTCTTTTTTATTCAAATTTAAAGTGATTTAAATTACAAATGATCGTTGACTTTGTTTTAGTGCTGCTTGTCTCTGGTCTTTTTTGAATTTCATACCCCATCAAACATTAACCATGTGAGAAAACACAAAAATGCAGATCTGGAAGTCGGAAACAAATTGCTACAAAAACTTGGTAGGTCTGGCAGCATCTGTGGAGAGAAAGAAGAGCTGATATTTCAGAACCAGAAGAAGGATCACTGGACCAGAACTTTAACTTTGCTTTATCTCCACAGATGTTGCCAGACCTGTTGAGATTAACCATGTAAAAGTCATTGGCGTTTTTGCCCTGAAAACTTAACTTAACTTTTGACTTCTGCATTCACTCTCAGTAAGAAAAACCAGGTGAGAGGTGACAGTTGAATCTCAGCAGGGGACGACAGATGACGCTGTGTTCAACTGTCCTAAAGGCTGCAGACCGATCAAGAGGATTTAGCTTTGTGCAAGCAGAGGATGTCACTTGTGATAGTGGTGAGAGCCTTTTGGTACTATATCAGGAGTGAGAACCTGGATTGAAGGTTTTCAATCCCTGAATTCCAGTGAAGATGGGCACAAACTTGTGAGCAACACATTCAGGCAGTTTGCAGTAGGAAGGTTGATGGGGAGATAGTTGGGAAGGATGATGGAGTACCCGATTGAAGTAAAGATGGTTGATGGCGCGCTTAATGAAGAGAGGGGCAACTTGGAGAGAAAACCATGAACAATGATGATTATATGTAAAGATCACTGCATTGATGATTGATTAGCATACTTTCTTTTTTTGGGTAAAACATTTAAGAAATATTCTCTTATTGAGAGGAGTGCATCTAAATTTAATTCAAGCTATCAACACTAACAAAACAGGAGAGGTGACAAAGTGAACAGCCTGTCAGGATTGCTGTCAGAGTTTATGAACAGTCAAGTGGTTCTGGATTGCCACATTTACAGGAAATGTTTCTGCCTTTTGTCATTACAGCTCAGAATCATTGGGTTGGTGTTTGAAATAGAAACACTGAAAGATAAAGCTATAAATTCCTCACACTCATTTATCTTGGAAACAGTTCCTTACCAGAGGAAGAGCTAGCTTCAGGAAGAGGTGTCGGGGACCTGTTGAATGTGTCAGGAGAGGTTGAGAAGGAGATCTAATGGACAGTAATCTTGTCTAGTCCCAATGTATTTCCTGTGGTGAC